GAGGAGGAGGAGGAGGAGGAGGAGGAGGAGGAGGTGGAAGGAGAGGGGGAGGAGATTTATGATCAAGGGGAAAAACAAGCAGTTACGCCAGGTGCGCACATGGTCAGAAGAAACTCAAATGTAGCGTTCTTCATCCGCAGATAGGAATAGAGGTTTTTTTTAATCAGTTGCCCATTTATATGAGATTGACGCCATCTGATTAGTACAAAAAAGTGCGTATGATAGTGTCCAATAGTGTATTACGTGCATACTTAGTATGAGAAATAACTGTTACAGATAGAGATTTCAGGATTATAGACGTAAGTCATTGATCTGAGAGCAATGATGATTTTAGAAATAATGGTGGTGATGAGTGATGATGTGGGATAGCATTAAAGTAATGTTTGCTTTAGTCCTATCTTTCTCTGCTCCAATGAGTCACGAGAGACGTGGGCACTCTCTATCCTGTTCCCATGAAGTTCCGAAATGGTGGGCACAGTCTCTGCTAAGCTAGTGTTAGTGTTAGCCTATTCTATCAGGCCAAGACAAGTGTCGAGAGGTGCTAAGTGGGAAGACAGTATAGTGGTAGGTATGTTGGGATATTCGCAAGCGAGTTGTATTTTACCTGTTGGCAAACAGATTAATATATTATGAACTTTAGAAATGCAGCATTATACTCCCTGGTGATTCACCTCAAATATTCTTTTCGCGTCCTATTAAACTTGAGGAGATTCTGACACAGTATCCTCAAGCCTGAGTCGAGAGGGCACAATTTATACATAATTTTGTATCCCCTCGTCCAGATAGCGATAGATAAGCTTGCCTAGGTAGATAGTCTGTGCATTTTTCTTCATCGAAGAATATCTGGGGGAAGGGACTGAATTCTACTAGTTTGGTGAGGTGACGATATATGGGATGAATCCAGTAACGACGATAATTGAAGAGATATATCTGTTTGTACCACCACCAAAGAAAGATTTTGCGTTTTCAAGCCAACGCCATTCTGCATCACCGGAGCGGAGCGGATGGTCTGGATAGAGACGATCAGCACGTTTCTGTCCAGACGTTTCGTGATGAGGAGCGGAGCCTGTGGACAACTAGCCTCAAGCCTTCTCGGCCTCAATGACCTTCTCTTCTTCAAGAGCCATTGCCTGTTCCCCATTCTCCTTCCCGTGAACGTTTATGTCTGTGACGCTGTATCTCCTCTTGCACGTGCGCTGTCTGTAACACTTCAATACGTCATATTTCCGAGAAACAATCTCGCCCACAAAGAGTTTGTTAGTCACAAGGGAGACAACCACGATACAAATCGTGCCCATGAGCATCGCAAACGTCCTGAAAGGGAAGAGTTGTTTCCCTGATTCCTCCTCGAAGAACGGATACTTAAGAAGGGGAGGTAATCCGAGCACAGGTTCCCCGGAGAATAATCGAAGACATAGGGAGACCACGAAGCCTGTGAGGCTGCCGTAGGCGTTGGAGTTTTCCATCCACAGGACAAGAGTCAGTTGTGGGAACAGGACGACGTACATGAGGTCAGAACACAGGAGGTACAGGCCGTAGATCGTGTTGGAGTAAATAGCGACCAATGTACCCAGCGCACCGACAACCAGCACTGTGATACGAAGTACCCACATAAGTTCTTTCTCGGTGGACTAGAAAGGAAAAAGGAAATGGAATTGAATAGTCCTTTTAAAAAAGTCGTAGCATAAATATTGTTATATCTTCCAGAAAGTTGGAATAATAAACAATGAGGTAGGCCAATCAGACCCCCCCCCCACACACACACACACACGCACACATACACACACACACACACACACACACACACACACACACACACGCACATACATACGAACAAACACAAACACACATACA